CTGGTGGAGATGTTGGAGATTTCGTTTTGGCAGAATGCCTCTGGAGAGGAGTTAGAACCTGCGGTGGCAGGTTGTGCATGAAAATCGAGGATTTCGATTCATAGTATCCTTTTGGATCTTTCATGCCATAGGCTTGTAGGTTACAGACCTCATAGCTGATCTTGCGGTTGGAAAACAGGCGTTTTGCTTCTGGTGAAGACCAGAGCCTGCTGTAGTATGGGTTCTCAAGAACAAAGTAACGTCCGAGCTTCATTTGGTGGTCTGCGACCGATTCACAGAATTTTAAAACAGAAAGTCTCTTGGCAGAGCCTTTCTTCCACTGTGAGTACCAGCTAGACCACTGAGAGTGATCGGGTGACATAACAATAATAGTAGGTTCTTGTTCCTTGATGATCCTAAGAAGATTGGAGCGACCTTGCGGTTGCTCAAGATCTAGACCACTACGCAAGTCGACTGGCTGACCTACTCGCAGACCTGACAGGGCAGCCTTGTGACTCATACGGGGAGATCCACCGTAGAGTTCTAGGAAGTCAATCTTCCCAGTGCTGGTGACCTGCCAGTGACACTCTTGATGCGGAACCGTTAGGTCTGTCGACTGCAGGGAAGCATCAAAGGTGACCATGCAACTTGCGTGGTCAGAACCTTCTGACGTCAGAGTTTCCTCATCAGGCGCGAGAGGAATCTCCACATCAGATGTTATGTCATAATTTTTCCTCAGTTTTGAGATATTAACGCGGACGATGCGTGTTCCAAGATCCACACCTACCATGGATCCTCCGAGTTCGGAGATCACCTTTCCTTTTAGCCAAGATCCATGTTTGGACCCAGTTGATCCAATCTTAGACTTATCCTCTGACCAGTAGAAAACCTTATCTCCCCAAGAGAAAGGTCCTTCGGTCATTGACAGTCTGGCCGCAAGATCTCTGCGCAGATCATCAGATTGGCGTGCCTCTTGGTAAGCCCTGTTGGCAAGCTCCTTAATGGCTCTCGCAGTGACTTCCGTATCAGTTGGATTACCTGTCAACTGATTGGGATCAGCGTTCTCTGGTGTTATAACATCTCGAGGACGCCTACCAAAGGCCATTTCTAAAGGAGTAACTCCTCCATAGGTAATCGAAGAGTTTCTTGCCAAACATGCTTGTCGAACGAGGTTGCCATACTTCATGGTGATTCCGTTATACTGCGGGTCACCATCCTTCAGGATCTGAAGTATGATCTTAATCTGATGCTTCAGCAATCTTACAGCAGCTTCGGCCCTGTTGGGCCATGGTGTTCCAGGTCCTGTTGCTACAGGCTTGATATTCTGCCGATTGTAATAAGCCTCCATTTTTGGAGTCATGAATGCTTGATCTCCAACTACAACCTTTGGGTTGATCTGAAATTTCTCAAAGTAGTCATTCATAATCGACATTGTAGTATGCTCTTCTTTATCCTGGACTACTTCGGAAGTCAACAGGTTTGTTGCTCCGTCATAGAGAATAAGAAATATTAAGCGACTATTCTTGCCGGGAATTGGAAGCTCACCGTGATCTACGAAGGTGAGATCACCGAAAGTCTCTGATCTTAAACCGGAAATCTTCGCTCTTGAAGGAGCTCTCACGTGTTCCTGACAGGCTGAACACTTTTTGACCAGTTGGTCATATAGCTCATATATCTCCTTTGGGATCTGTAAGGCTTTCGTGCGTCGCTTGAACTGATCCGTACTCATATGACGGTGCTTAAGGTGAAGCTTATAGAGTTCTACAGGGTCCTTAAGCTTCTCATGAATCCTGCGAAGAGCAATGGGAGAGATGGCGATGGTTCTGCGACAATCTCTTCACCTGTAGGTGAGTCTGTACCAGGAGCCGGGTATTCTCTTGACTCAAGTGGTCTTACCTCCGTCCCGTCATCAGCTCCTGGGACCATAGACTTCTCCTCAACAGGAGGTTTGACCGCATATTTGCGGGTTTTCTTCAGAAGGTTTTTAAGACCCTTTGGAGTCTTTGTCTTCGCAGGTGGAACCTCAAGTCTTTCTTCTTCTGGAGGTTCGTGCGGTGCAGATGATTCTGCAGGTTTGTCTCTAGAGCCTGATGATGGTTCCGATGGTTCGGAAGGCTCAGGAGCATCACCAGATGGTTCTGGTGGATCAGGTTTCTTGGCAGATGATTCTGTCGGATCAGATGGAAGAGGCTTCTTCTTACCTGGAATGCCCTTCGGTGGCGGATCAGCTGCTCCTTCAGGTGCTTTGTCGCAACCTTTGAGGAACGTATGAGGCTTTTTCTGTCCTGCGCAGGCTGGACAGCGACCTTCCGGGATCTTTTTATAAGATCTTCTTTCTTCCTTTGGCTTCTTAGCTCCTAGAGCAGTCTCCGTCGCACTGAACGACGTACCTGACTTAGGGAGATACTTCCTGGTGGAAGTGAAGCCTAGAAGGTCCAATACCAAATGGTTATTGGTACTAATCGGAAGGGGGGTTTTGTACAAACCGAAAGCTTCACACGTTGCTAGGTCAGCTGTGGGACTACACTCGAGGGTCATTCTTAGATTCCTCATCTGTTCAATGGAGAACAAAATGGGAACTCTCCCTTGATCCAGAACTTCTATGGTTGTATCTCTTCTTGGAGTTGTGTTGAACCATAGAGTTACACGCTCCTTGATAAGAGCTGTTTCACTATCTGCGAAAGAGAACTTCGTGTTCGAAGGTGAGAAAGTGAAATCAATCATGCCTGGGGCACGTTGCTTCACGGCCTTGATAAGCCTGTTCACCGCATAGCGGGAACCCATAGCCCTAGTACAACCTGAGTCAAGTATGACAAAGGTAGGGTTCTTATCAAGATTGATCCGCTCTGTGAGAGCAGATAGGACGGTGTGCTGCAACGGAAACACCGCTGTTGCAGTTTCAACACCTTGCCCCTCGGATGGTTCAAAGACCTGGGGCACGTAACTCACTGATGAGTTGAACACGGGTTCTTGGTGCGCGCTCGGATCTGTGCCTCTACCTGATGATCCTGCTTGATTTCTTCTCTTCTTTCTCCGTGTTTTTCTTCGTGAGGCTTGTGATGCATAGTATGTATAAGACGTTTGATCGTCATAAGCGGCATAATTCCAACTGGAGTCAGTATAATAACTGTCCTCATACCATGAATCCCAGCTCGGTGCGGTGGAACTCTCATAGGCCTGTGGAGATCCAGTTTGGTCTCCTTGTAAGGAGGCAGACTTAGCTGTATCCTTACCTTTGCCTTTTGCCTTTGCGCCTTTGAAGGAGCTTCCTTTATCTCCTTTGTCCTTTCCTTTTCCTTTGCCTTTTCCACCTTTTCCTTTTTCCTTTCCTTTACCTTTACCGAAATAGCTGGAATCAGTTGGATCATGTTCTGCCTGGTTGGCTCTCCCTTTTCCGCGGTATGACCTAAAACGGCCACGTCCTTTTCGCTTGCCACCCTTTGCTCTTCCCGGTGATCCGGGACGCATTCTTGGTCTTCTTCCCTTTTTGAATCTCCTTGCAACGAAGGCTCATGGTCATCAACTGTCCAGAAGACAGCTTCTTCATCCTCGGCGGCAAGAAAGCCTTCCTCAAGGGTGTCTTCGTCTTGGAGCCAGAATCCATCGACTCCATCGTATTCACCCTGATCGAGGATGAGGAAGTTTCGACCTCCGCGTTTGCGGCGTTGGTCTCTCCTTCCATGGCGGTCCTTCTTGTGAGAAGAGTGCCGAATGTTGGGATCCTGCAGACCAGTTCTGGTCGTTGAGAACTGATCGAACATGGTCTGCCGTACCACAGGGTACGTGTAGGTCTCAATTCGGTGACCTTGGTTGGTCAATGCTGTTACCAACCTCTCACGTTGCATCTCATTTAGGTCGGACTGCACTAGGAAGAGGAGAGCTAGGAGATTATCGTTCAGAGGAAACGCTCTTCGATGATTGTCAAGGCGTTCCTTGTTCCATGTTTCGAAATAGCGTGCGGCATATGTGTCTCTCTCGGCTGCATCCTGCATGCGCAAGAAGGTTTGGTCTGCCTGCACAGCTTGCATGAAATCTGGATGGGCATCCTCCAGAGCTATCTCTGGTAAGAGATCCATCCATGAGTTTTTCACGCGCTGTAGCACGATCTCAAACTTGGCAATCCAAGTCACAAAGTCTTGGTTGCCCTTCCATGCCTTGAATAGGCCGAGGAAACGCCACAGGAAAACGTACTGTTCTCCTTTCACGAAAAATGGACGCATCTTCTTCTTGAAGTAATCTACTCCATCTGGGGCTGCAAGCCTTTCTCGGTTCAGTGATTCCTTTTGTACTGCGGCCAATCCGGAGAGCCTCGTCTTGAGAGACGGACCTCTTTTGGTGTCATCCAGCGTTGTTATGTCGCACCAGTCGTCAATCAACTGTTCATACTCAAACCACGAGGTGGTGCCATCATAGGCAGGCGCGATCTTGGGCGTTATGCCTAATGATGCAAGCATGCGGTCAGATGTTGCATATGACTGTGCGACATAAGTGGCTGGACCTTGGGAGGTCTCTCGTTCTCATATCCCCCGGAGGATTGGGAACTGTCGTCGGCTTCGCTGTGCGAGCTCGACATTGTGCTGCCTCTTATCCGCTTGGTTAAGCGTTCGGCGAGGCCGACCGCTGTAGCGGACTTTGGGAGGGCGGGCGGCCCTTTCCGGGCTCCGCTACCAGAAAACTGAGCCGATACACCCACAAGGAAATGCTCCTTGTTAGGAGGTGTATGACCAGTTTATTCCCTAAGGATCAAGGGCAGCGCCCTGCACACGGACAGTAGTTGTTTTGTCTTGCTACGCAAGGAGAGCTTGTCTTGTCTCAATATGGTAAAACCACTGTGAGCCAATGGGCAGCGGAATGTATATGTATGAGCATGCAGCCATTGCTGTAGGTACCTGTTAGAGCTACCCCTTTAGAGGTTTACGCAAACATGGGGCCCATCCTCGGGCCTGACTGGCTGAAACCCGTCCAAAGTGCACTCCACTTGGCGGCCTGCTCAGCGAGAACACGTGCCGGATATGGCCGCATCATCGGCTGCTGGCCGCAGCTGCAGTCCGCTCCAACTCGATCTCCGCCCGGCGCTTGATCCAGGAAGACTGACGGGACACATCGGCCCGCATACGAGATCTCCATTCAGCAAGCCGTTGAGTCTTCTCCTGCTCCGCCTGAGCGGTCACGAGATCCGAGACGATGGCAGCAGCCTGGTCCCTCCGCCTCATTGTGCAAGACGATGGCCGGCGGCGAGGTAGGCGAAGACCCGCAAGGAGGTCAAAGCCCGCAATGTGGTAGCAAACAGCAGTGTGGTCTCCGACTCCCTCGCTATGGGTGATGCCAGAGGCATAGATATGTCCACTGCCCAGACCGAAATCAATACGACGTCTGTTGCCCGGGCCGATGCAAGGTAAAGCAGTCGAAGAGCAATCATCTAAGCAATGCACACAGTCCGAGGCCAAGAGCTGGGCATACGGAGGATCCGAGATCTCCTCTTGCCAATCTCCAAGGCACAGAAAAGGAAGCTCGAACAGGTGCATCTCCTGGAAAGGTGTTCAGCTAATTTGCTAGCACGCTCAACATCAGAGTGGAAAGCATACACAGAGCTGAAACAGATCTTGATGTACTTGTCACTCTGCTTGAACTCCAGCAAGGCGGCAGCGATCCTGCTCTCGAACTCAGTCTGCAAAGAGAGAGGCTGAACAGGAAACCGTGACAGCAGACATGCCCTGGAACCAAGCGGGTCGGCTGCTTGAAAGCGCCACATGAAAGCCTCGGCGTGTCCAGAAACAAGTGAACGTGGGCACCGAGTCCTCCGGGACATCAATCTCCTGAAGCCACCAAATCCGGCTGCGAACGGTCGACTTGTTTCCTGCTGTTTCTCCTCCGTTCACATGCTATGCCAGGTCTCATAAGCGTCGCATGGGTTGCTCGTCACGCAGGTTTACCGGTTTACCACTGAATATCAGGACTGCGACCAGACGTACTGCCAGACCCGTGATCTAACGGACAGACGTTGCTCATGATCGCATTGCGATGAGAGCCACAGCAAAGTATGTCCACCCTGGGTCGCGTACTGAAGGTTGTTTGCTGTTTTGTGGGACGAAGAACTGAAGAATATGTAGCTTAGCCCAGATAAAAGTTGTAGTTGTCCAGGGCGCACAGAACTCTTCGTCATAATGCCTGGGAATGGGCGCTTGCGCTAACGTAAAACATAGACTTCTCCGATTGCGCTTGTCACCCTTGCGCAGCGTCCATGCTACTTTTTTCTTTGTGTTGTTTCATTTTTATCCGGCAGGTTCTGCGTCCGGTACGGTCGGGTATATACCTCTTGTCGAGGCGCAGTTCGACGATCTCGAACACCTGGATGACGGTGACGGGCTTTTTGGAAGTGAAAACTACGATTCCCTCAATTGCTACCCATGGCTGATCGCTGACAGCATCCTTGATCCTAAGTGCTTCCCAGCCGGTCCTCCAGGCCAGTACTATAGGCGGGCTCTCCACGGCGTATCTTCGGAGTTCGAAAGAGATCCGGTGCATTCGAAAACATGACGGTCGCAGCGGCCCTGAGGCACAGTCAGCCTGGCTCTAGAACAGTGCATCCCATAGAGGTGACAGATGATGTGACTCAGCACAACCGGTTGGCTTCTGCTTGTTCTTGGAGCATTGTGTCATGTCAAGTTGAGGCCAGCTTAAACGATGCCCCGATGCGGCGGTGGTGTGTGGACCTGTGTGGAGAGTTTGAGGCCGGCTTCAACGAAACTTCCAGCGCAAATCCCCCGCCGTTGCTGGGCGGGATCTTGGTGAGTCTTGCGAGGTGCCAGTGAAGCCGGCTTTCAGCGAGGCTTCAACCGCGGGTGCATACTCAATCCCCCCTACTAGCATGGTGTTAGAGGGCCATATGACCATATGAATCATGAATCAACCTTTTCCGTGGACCCCCGTGAAACGAACCCGTCGTTGCAGTTGACTTGACCTTGGAGTCCAAAGTCAAAATGGCAGACGTGGTTCTGGGAGACTTGACCTTAGAGGGCAAGGTTTTGAGGCGGTGCTGACTGTCTGGACCCAAAGTCATTCGGGGCTGCCAGAAGATTAACGCGCCCATAAGTTGCCGTCGACCTGATCTATTCCACGGCCTCTCGAACACCCTCCATATCGGGAGCTTGCTTGCGTTTGAAGCTTCGTCGAAGCCGGCTTCAAACTGAGATTCCACTAGGCTTCAAATGCCAACTAGCCTTGCTTCTTAATGACGAGAAGACTAGAAAGCTGGTTTCAAACCAAAACCTCCACCGGCTTCGAACCTCGAACACCGTCCCAATATTTTTGGGATTTGCGTTCGAAGCCTCGTTGAGGCCGGCTTTCCCGGCAGTACGGTAAGGATTTGCGTTTAGTACTTGGCTTAGCTTTCGTTAGCAGCACCACCACTACCGCCGCCACCACCGCCACCACCGCCGCCACCACCACCACCGGCCACCACCACCACCACGGACCACCACGGACCACCACCACCACCACCACCACCAGTAGCACCAGCAGCACCAACAGCACCAGCAGCACCAGCAGCACCAGCAGCACCAGCAGCACCACCACCGCCACCACTAGCACCAGTAGCAGCAGTACTAGCACCAGCACCACCCATTTGGCTGCGTGGACTGCGATTCTCGGAGTCGCTGATGCAGACCCTCTCGACTGCTGTCTCAAGCGGCAGCCTCCGCAGTGGAATTAGCACATTGTTCATGGGTCCCTCTGGCCCATCCCAAGGCTTTCTCGTGCGGCTGCAAGACTTTCCGCAGGGAGTCATCCGGATTGGGCGTTTTCATGCTGGCGTTGAAGCAGCTCTGCGCATTCGCTTGCCAGTGCGGCGGCTGCAGAACCGTCCCAGGTATGCCAAAGTGGCGACTACATCTCCGCTGTGCCGTGCTTGTGCTCGAAAAAGTGGAGTGCCTGCCAAAAGTTCAGCGGTCCGACGCTTCCGAGGTCTGGAACGCTGCAGCGTCGCCAGGTGTGCAAGTTTCGACAGTAGCTGGCCAGCGCCCCCTAACCAGCTCGGAAGAAGCCTCGGCAAAGCTCCAGTTCCGAGCAGATCCAGCCTCGTACAGTGCCAGACAGCGGGTGTGCCGCTGATCGCTTGGCAGTTGCATCTAAACAGCGAAACTCCAGGAGACGGCTGGCGCCCTTCAAGGCCGGCCGCTCAGAGCCAACAATGCAAAATCCCGGAGCACCCATGAGGCCATGGAGTCCCACCGCCCACGCAGACGGTTTGCCCTCCAGCCCTAGAGGCACTCTGCGAGAGTTGGCAGAGTCCGTATCCGTGCACAAATCCCGGTCCGACTACTGAGTCATTATCTGGTAGACGCTTGCTCATAAAGAGTCCGGGTCCTCGCAAGCAACCGATGCGGCAACGCTGGTTGCTCATGGCGTACAAGCTAGAATTCGCGCATTGCTCGTGTGCACCGCGGGCCCAAGCCAGCCAACATAGGTTTTTAGGGGGGTGTTCGAACCCAAGGTTTCGAACTTAGAGTTCCGAACCCAGGGTTCTGGAACTCCGAACTGAGATGAGAGTTCGGAGCCTCGAACCCAGGGTTCAAACATCGAAGTTCCCTCCGAACCCTAGGTTCGAACTTTGAGTTGAACTCCAAGTTGAACTCAACTCTGAACTTCTTGAACTGGAGTTGAACCTGGAGTTGAACTTTGAAAGGCGAAGAGTTTGAACCCGGGTTTGAACATAAGAGTTTCCGAACCCAGAGTTCGGAGTTGAAACTCCAGGTTTCGAACATAGAGTTTCCGAACCCAAAGTTCGAACATGGAGTTTCCGAACCCAGAGTTCGAACTCTTGTATCATTGCTTGTTCTCTCATTTTATTTTTCGCAAAAACCTCATTAGCGATTTCGTGTGTTTTCTTCTTCTTTTGCTTGTGCTTGCAGTTGAGTTTGTGGTTTCTGTCATTGTAGTGTGCTCTCAGTAATTTTATTCGCAAAACCCCCCACAAAGCGATTCTGTGTGGCTTCTTCTCTTTTTGTTTGGTGATTGTTGGTGTTCGAACCCCGTTCGAACTTTCGGAGGCAGTCTAGAACCCGGGGTTGGGCGGTTCATTTGTTCGCGCCTTTAGCATTCTCGTAGGAGACTTCATCCGAACCCAGGGTTCGAACATAGAGTTCCCGAACCCGGGGTTCGAACATAGAGTTCCCGAACCCAGGGTTTGAACATAGAGTTCAAACTCCAGGTTCAACCTGGGTTCGAGAAGTTCGAACCCAGGGTTCAACCCTGAGTTCCGGAGTTATATGCCCCCCCCCCCCCCCCGGGCCCCCCGGGAGTTCGAACCCTGGGTTCCGGAACATTCCAAAAACCTATGCTCCAAGCCAGCGCGCCTGGGAACGGCGCTAACAGCTCGGCAACTGGTTCTCGAGGTCGAGGGACCCTGCAAGCGGCTGTGTAACCCTCTGTATCCGGTTGCCAATAGAAGGCCTGAATCAGGAAACCCACGTTGGCCCAGGCAGCGGCGACATCACCCGAGCCATCAGCGGTGTACCCGCCAGCAACTCAGTCAGAGAAGACAGTGCTGTGCGGCAGCGTGGGTAGAAGAGCGAACTGAGCCAGAAGCGCCGGCACCAGCTCAGCCGCCCAGTCGTCCAACAACGAGGCGTCAAACCGCAAGCGGTCTTCATATCGACGAAGGCCGTGGTCTCCACGTGGTCCCCCATGCTCGCACTGCCGTAAGTACTCATGCCACGCCCCATTGGATCGCCAGGCTCTAGGGAGGAAGCCAACTTCCTGTGGGGTGCGGCCTGGTTGAGCCGTAAACACGGAAAAGCCTCCCTGGGCATCAGTGGAGGGCTCCGATATAAAGATCACCCCGACGTGGCTCATGTCACGAGGCCGCTGCCCAAGGCCATAGCCGCCCCGGGGCAAAGTCCCATATGGGCCGCGGACCCGTA